GTTCTTCTGTGAAACTTAAGCTAACAGCTGCAGATTGGGCCTGGTTTCCAAGCAGATTTATGTCATCTTAATAAGACTTGATTTTTAATATATTAACAGTTTACTTTATTGTTTTTTTATAAACCTTTACATTGCTGTAACATTTGTATTAGATGGATATTTACATAGAAATGTGCAGAAATGTTTAAACTTTTTTCCAGATTGTTTACACTTTTAGAAATTACCGTAAATTTACAGGATTTTTTTCTTAGTGTACTTTATTGGCTTTCTGCATCTGTCTCTATTTATCTTGATCCTTCTATTATACAACTTTAAACTTGTAGTAAAATAGCTGCATTTAAGTAAATAAATGAGCTATGGTTGTTTTATAAAAGTCTCTAAATGGCTAGGAATGTTCTTCCTTTGTGTTCTGATTAGTTGTTAATGTGGATATTCTCTCCATTTAATGGCCTGCAAGCCTACAAGCAAGGATGCTTATTCTCTGTCAGATACATCAGATAAACCTCCTTTGTTTTCTGATTGGTTTTTGGATGTGCTCTCCCTACAAATCCCGTCAGAAATTTAAGAACACATGGGGCCCTTTCACTGAATGTGTTCTTACACTCTCCTTTACTTAGTTACAAAAAATCTTCTCTTAAGGCAAAACCTACATATTATTCACCAAGAGCACTGGTTATATATTTTTACCCTTAAGCTTGTATACCTACAGCGTGCCAAATGTCGCTGAATTGTTACGGACCGGTCGCTACTAGAACAAATTTGAAATATTATTAATTTAGTTTAATAGTAGTTTATTATTTTTGAATTATTGTTATTGGGGGCAGATATATTGTTCCAGAGAGGGACTTATGTTTTTGTATCCTATGTATAATGTTCAAAAAAATCTTTTTGTAATAAATTAATAAACAAAAAAAAAACCTGGATTAGTTTAAACAGGGCCCAGATGAAATAAAAACTGATATAAAGTTTTTTTAGTTTATAGCTGCAGTTATTAACTCTTTTTATATACCAGGCAGCCATATTGGATTTTGAGGATTAGATTGGTGAGCACGTTTGATCTTTCTGACTTTTAAGGTAGTTACAGAGGATTTTTCTGGCTCGAAACTCAAAAGTTCCAACTCCTGAGTACAAATCTAATTCTCTGAACCAATATTGCTCTGACTGCTGTGTACAGCAGGTAAGAAGTAGACTGCTGATAACAACTCCACAGAACCTCTTCAATAAAAACTCTGAGCTGTCTCTTTAAATATCTGTAGACTTCTTAACTAGGCAGATATCAGCAAATATCCTCAGTCAGCTTTTATTCAAAGGGGACATAACTAACCTTCCTGTCTACCTGTCAACCCACCCCAATCACTCTACCCCTCAACTTTTTATCTCCTCATCTCCTGTTTTCATGGCTGCCTCCCCTATTCTGCCATGACCTTCGTCAACTCATCTGCCCTGTCTCTTCAACCTCTGTGTCCGTCTCTGTCCGCCCCACCCCCAACGCCCCCCTCCCTCCCCTTCCCCGTGTCTCCAGGTCCACCTCGAATTAGACCCATGCGAGACATCACAGCAGTGGCGGGCAGAAACACGTATATAACATGCCGTGTGATCGGGTACCCCTATTACTCCATCAAGTGGCTGAAGGACGGCATGCAGCTGCCTGATAATCATCGACAAGTGGTGTTTGAGAACGGCACCCTGAGGCTGACGGACGTGCAGAAGGGCGCCGACGAGGGGACCTACTTGTGTAGCGTTTTAATCCAACCCCAGGTGTCAATAAACCAGACTGTTCATGTCACCGTCAAAGGTAATTGTAACGAGAAGAAGAAACTCGTTGGATAATATCTTTGCTGTAAACAAARAAGTATGAGATTGAGTTTAAACACAGTAAAGAAATGTGGTAAGAAAAAATCTCCACCACAGAATTACCAAGTCGTTGCCATTTAGAGACACAACGTTTTATAACGACACTTGTTTTTCAGTTCAGATCAATAGCTGAGTGAAGCTGACCCCTCCCAAAAAATGAACCACAGAAAAATAAAATGCAAATTGGATGAGTGGTTAGTGCTTCGTTTGTGCGGATTTGTGCACTTGAAATTGTTGTTTGTGCTGCTATGGTTTTTTTTATATATTAAAGATTATTTGTAAGGGTCATTCAGGGACCACCATCCCACCCGCTCGCTCCAAAATGATCCAAAAATGAACCAAACTTGAATTTTGTACTGCTTTGTTTGAGCAGGTTTGTGCCATTGAAACAATTGTTTGTGCTGCTATAATGTATTAGAAATTACACATTATAATTTCAGACGATCACGTGTCTGTGACGTCGTAAACAATTCAGGCCAAGTCACGTGATCATCCGAAATTATAATGTGTAATATCTAATAAATTATAGCAGCACAAACAATTGCTTCAARGGCACAAACCTGTTCAAACAAAGCACTACAGAATTTGACAAGTTTGGTTCATTTTTGGTTCATTTTGGAGCAATGGTGACCACTGAATGATCCTTACAAATAATCTTTAATATATAAAAAAAAAACCATAGCAGCACAAACGACAATTTCAAGTGCACAAACCCGCACAAACGAAGCACTGACCACTCATCTAATTTTCCTTTTATTTTTCTGTGGTTCATTTTTTGGGAGGGGTCAGCTTCACTCYGCTCAGATCAATGATGTTTTGGGGACTGGTTTTAGATTTCCTTTTCCAGATTTTAGATGTTTACGTCTGTGTTTTGTTTAGTCTGTGAGTCCACTAATGATGGTAGTGCGGCAGCTGCAGAGGTGTTTAAGGGTGTGTGCGAGTGCCTGAGTGTGAGTGTGTCTCTGATTTAATTAGATGAATAATAATGAAGCCTAGATTAAATCCCCCAGATGTCTCAGCTGTAGTACCCCCACCTCAACCTCCATTMCTATGGCAACGAATGACTTCCTCCTGCCAATTGGACTCTAACCAGAGCAGCTATTATGGGCTGCAGGAGATAGGGGGGGGCCTGAAGGAGGTGGCAGCAAAGAGGGGGCCCACCGGCCAATGACCTTCTCTATCTCTTTTAGCATTGCTCCAGATGGCCACGCTGCCACTCTTAGACATCTATCGCTGCCTTTCTTCCCCTGATCCTCGCCGCTCTTCCTGTCTCTTTCAGTGCCGCCGCTCATCCAGCCCTTCGACATCCCCTCTACCTCAGTGGGGAAGCTCATGTACATCGCCTGCGTGGTGTCGTCCGGCGACATGCCCATACGCATCACCTGGCACAAAGACGGCCAGCTCATCGTGCCAGGCTCGGCCTCTGGCGTCGCGATCGAGACCAAAGAGTTCATGAGCTCCCTGCAGATCTCCAAGGTGACGCTGAAGCACAACGGAAACTACACCTGCCTCGCCAGAAACGCCGCTGCCAGCGTCAGCTGGGAGAGACAGCTGATTGTCACTGGTGAGGGATGGAGGGAGGAGTGGCTGAAATCCGCTTCACGAGAACTGGAACATGGTTCCTGCGGATCCTTAAAAAGTCTTAAAAATCATTGAATTCACCAATCCAAAAATAAGGCCTTAATTAGCCTTAAATTGTCTTAAATCAGTCTTTCAGAAGTCTTAAAAATGTTAACACATTGTAAATAGAATGATTGTAATTCATTTCAAATATTAAAATAATTAGTAACATTTATTTTTTTTAAACATTCACATGCAGACATTCCTCTTTGACATCGCTTCTTGCTGCTTCACATGTAAATATCTCAACAACTGTCCATCTGAGCATCGTGAAATTTGTTTTGTAATATGTTAATAATGTTGTCTTTCCAAAAATTCATTCACATTTCTTACAAAAAAATGATGTCACAGGCACTTTAAGGTTTCATCTGCAGCAAATTGGGGTAAAGACCCCACTGTGGGTCCTAAAACTCCAAGTTTTGGGTTGTTAGAGAATTTCCAGGAATTTAAAAATTTTAAGACTGCTAAGAATGTTTTTGCTATATTTGACAAAAAAGCAGTTGGTTAAAAACAATTGGTTTATTATCAATATTTGAATACTTTAAACAAAAATACTTTGATTCTTGAGTTTCAGCCATTATTATTTTAGTCCTTTGTGTTTATTGTGAAATTGGTCTTAAGTTTAGTTTTATTTGGCATTAAAAAGTCTTTAAAAGTCTTGAATTTAACTTGCCTTAAACTGTAGGAACCCTGCTAGAAGGTAGCTCATCAGTCTGGTTAAATTAAACTTTTTGTTCCGCAGTGCCGCCACGCTTTGTGGTGCAGCCCAACAACCAGGACTGCATATACGGGAAAGCTGGAGTTCTGAACTGCTCAGTGGAGGGTTACCCACCTCCAAAGGTCATGTGGAAACATGCCAAAGGTAAAAGCTGTAAAATCACGACACAAACGGAAGAATTAAAGACACTTACCTGTATGCTTTCTGTTTTGTCCTGCAGGTGTTGGAAACCCACAGCAATACCATCCAGTCCCGCTTACAGGCCGCATCCAGATCATGTCAAATGGCTCTCTGCTGATCCGGCATGTCCTCGAGGACGACCGAGGGTACTACCTCTGTCAGGCCTCCAATGGCGTGGGCTCAGACATCAGTAAAAGCATGATCCTCACTGTCAAGAGTAAGTGTCGATCAGTTCTTACCGTGGCATGAACCTGAATTGTGCAGAGACAAAACTGAGCTGTATTTTTCTTTTCTTTTTTTTTTTTTTTTTTTTTGCTGGTCAAGAATCAGCACTTCTAAGATACACAATGCCCCAGGCTATTCTGGCCTATACTGAACCCAGACAAATCTTGTCTCAGTCCTGCACACCTTTAACAGGGGATGCCTTTGCTATTGATTTATGTGTTTGAGCTGTCGGTCTGTGTGCTGAACGTTCGGCGGGGAAAAAGCCTGTTGAATTAATGATAAAAACAAAACTACAGGATCTCTGTTCAATCAATAATCCATGTCAGAGCAACAGAGGAGGAAGAAAAAGCCAAAGMGTGGGAAGGAAAGAAAATATGAAACAGACAGGGGAACCACTGGGGCCCGAAGCATGAAATGACAGCACAGAATGAGGGGCAGGAAAAGTGATATCTATACATCTGTATATATCCTTCAGCTTACACAAGTTCCATTCCTTATCTCATTACGCCACATAAAACTATTCATTACTCTGACACGCGACTGTGAATCTGCTCAGTTCCTGCCATGATCACCAGTCACCCCAACACCACCATGGCCAGGAAGGGCCAGACCAAGGAGCTGAACTGCACAGCGCGAGGCGAGCAGCCCATTATCATCCGCTGGGAGAGAGGAGACACAGTCATCGATGCGGAGAGGAACCCCCGGTACTCCATCACAATCAACAAGAAGGGGGATGAAGTCATCTCCACCCTGAAGGTCAGAAAACCTGACTGACACTCAACAGAATTCTTTCAGTAAACTCAGATTGTTTGAAGATGTAAAACGTTGGAAATATCAAAACTGTATTTATTTGCTCCTCAACTGCTCACTGACATCAGGGTTAGGCTTATGAAACTGTGTCATTGTACAGTAATTGTATGTGTTTGTGAATGGATTTTAAAGAAATTTCAAAAAGTAATCATTGAACAAACATTTGCAGCTAAATACATTTTGATTCAAGATGGCTGCCACAGTTGATTGATCTTATACAATACCAGGTGCAAAGTGTAAAATTTCTTTTTGTTTCTGCTGCCTTGCATTTCATTTTTGATATTGTATTTATTGTATGTAAAATTTGTTTTTTTAATGAAATTATATTTACATTTTTTGTAAATTGAAGATTATTTTGTTAGAATTTATCTATTTGTGAAAAAGGGGCAGAAATCATAAGATTCTTTCTTCTTCTGCTACCTTTCATTTAATTTGTGATTTGTGTTTTGTTGTATGTTGAATTTGTGTTGTTTTGTTTCAAATGAATGAACTTTACAAACTAAACTAAACTAAAAAATAAAATGTTAAAAAATGTCCCATATTTTCATTATTTAGCTCACTTTCTGCGTGTTAAATTTCCACTAACATTTTATTATTTGGCTTACTGTTCCTATGCTATTTTTTTTTTACCAAATGTTCAATTTAAATGTTATAACTTACTGTTAAATCTAAATGTGTAAATGTAAAAATTAAACCTTGAATTTTTTGGCTAAATGTTGAGGTTTACATTTAAGCACTTAAGACTGGAGCACATACAGCCTTTGCTGTTGGTGCTCAGCTCTTGTTAGGACATTATCAACCTGTGACAAAACAACCGCTAATATTGCTAACGCTGCTGAAGATGCCATTTAAAATTTAAATTCAAAATGTGTTGACAACAATATGGATGGTACCTGTGGTCCGGCAGTTTGAAGTGCAGTTTGGACACCGGCCACAACTGCAAGTTTGATGACGTGTAGGGAAGCTTTAACAGCGTTAGCAGGCTTAGCAGGGTTAGCAGTTGCTTTTTTCTCAGGATGATGATGTCAACATTTAATATTTAAGTTTTAAATTTAGGATTTAACATTTAGACATAAAATTTCAATTGAGCATTTAATTAAAATGAGCAAAATGTATGAATAGCGAGCAAAAAAACAATAAAATATTACTGGAAATTTTTAAACTAGAATTTTACACTCAGAAAGTCAACTAAATAATGAAACTGTGTTAGTGACATTGTTAAACATTGTATTTTACACTTGGCACCACATAATTCAAAACAAAACGAGGCCATAACTCGGTCAATTTGACGTTGATATTCAGCACAAATTTGGCTTGTTAAAATAGGCTTTTATTTTGTGATTTTACTAATACAATTTTTTAAAGCATTGTGCTGATTTAAATGCTTTCCAAAACAATATTTGTGAAGTAATCACCTCCTGTTTGTTCTGTTTCTCTCAGCTGAACCCAGCCGAGCGAGGAGACTCAGTCTTCTTCTCCTGTCACGCCATCAACTCCTATGGAGAYGGTCGAGGTCTCATCCAACTCACAGTGCAAGGTGTTTCTAGTACTTCACTAAAATGTGTTTGTAACAACAGCTGCCTGATGGTGACGGCTTTCTAAAGTGACWTTGCAAGGGTTAACAGTTCACTCATCTTTTTTTATATTTCCTACAAACACAGAACCTCCAGATCCCCCTGAGCTGGAAGTGAGGGAGGTGAAGGACAGGAGCATGAACCTGCGCTGGATCCAAAGGTTTGATGGCAACAGCATCATTACCAGTTATGACATTGAGTACAAGAACAAATCAGGTGGGTGCAAAAAAAAAAGCCTAATCATACACATTTGTTTCATTTTCATGTTTTGATATAGGTTTAAATCAATTCTAATTTCTGCCCGTGTTTCCCAGACTCCTGGGATCACATGTACACAACCAGAAACATCTCTCCAACCAACAATCAGGCCAACATCGTGGAGCTTCACCCAGCCTGCGTCTACAGCATCCGCATGTACTCCTACAATAAAATTGGCCGCAGCCTCCCCAGCAAAGAGCTCACAATCAGTACAGAGGAAGCACGTACGTGTTTGGTTTTTTTTTCTTATTAACTGTCCTTTTTTTGCATTTAAAAATAAAAACAAATTCTCATGTGTTGGGAACAGAGCAATGAACATTAACAGTAATACTTAAATTGGGTTAAACAGCACCTGACGGACCTCCAATGGAAGTAATCCTCCAGCCAATGACGTCTCAGAGCATCCGAGTTACATGGAGGGTAAAAAATATCATGATTCTTCTGTTCTTTTCTATCTGTTGTGTGTGTTACTCAGAGTATTGAAACAACTCAAAATTTGTAAATTACTCAATTGTAAAAATCTATAATATAGTTTTTAATGTTAATGAGTAGGTTTCCAAAACTAGAAGATGTGTTCTAGCTAAGATATTTTTATTTGGTTTAGTTCAATTTTGTTTGTTTTTTTCCCTCCCGAGTATTTTTGTTGCATTTAAATTAAAGAATAATCACAACTATGATCATTTTGCCCAGTTACAGGTTTGAATTCCAGTAAGTTTTGTCAAAGATACACATTTTATGTTTTTTTTTACTGTTCTGAAGCTACTGTAGGTGACCTCGCAGTAAAGTTCAAGACTGGTTTTCTATGTCTTTTACAGCTAGTGTTTAAATATTTCAAATAGCTAAAAAGCTCAGTTTCAAAAGGCATTCATCCAGACAAAACAACAACAAAATGAAACAAAATACAGATTTATCTGCCAGGAACATTTCCACATGACTGCTTTTGAGGGAAAAAACATCTAGAGTAGAATCTCACATGAAAACACAAACGCTTTTACTTTCTGCAGCAGGAGAGCTAACTAACAAACCTAATTTTATAGCTTTTTGAACTCTCAAAATAGGTTTTATTGGTTTAAAAATGTAGTTCTGATCAAACTTTTTTTGCTGCTATTGCTCTACTTTTATGTTGCTTGCAAAATCTACAATTTGCAAAATTTTCTTTTCCTTGTAAACGTGTAGGCTCCTAAGAAGGAGCTGCAGAACGGGGTGATCCGAGGCTATCAGATCGGCTACAGGGAGAACGGTCCGGGCAGCAACGGCCAGTACAGCATCGTGGAGATGAAAGCCACGGGGGACAGTGAAGTGTACACGCTGGACAACCTGAAGAAGTTCGCTCAGTACGGGGTCGTTGTCCAGGCCTTCAACAGGGCTGGGACCGGCCCATCCAGCACCGAGATCAACGCCACCACCCTGGAAGATGGTACGAAAAATCCAGGAAGTGAGAGTGAGGAGGGAAAGAAAAGGGGCTGTGTGGAAATAAATTAAAAGTTGTGTAGATAGAGAAAATATATAAACAGCACATGACGGTAATGATGTTCAATACCACCGATTTCCTTTTCGATTCTGATAGCAAGTAAAACTCAAGCTGGTGTTGGCGATACTGATCCGATACTGATACTTTGTGCAAACACACCTAATGTGTGGTAAATTTTTAAAAAATGTATTGCGTTTCAAATCCCTGCTTCATAATAGATATAAGACATCAGAGTAAATTATTTAATCATTTTGATGTAGCATACTCCTTTACAGAGAAACCAATCATACAAAATATGTAAAAATTGTGATTTAAACAATAAAAAATGAAGTTAAATGATCAAAAACATTCAAATAAATTATTGTTTGACTATCAAGAACTACAAAATTGAAAACTCATGTCTTAATTTACATTACATGGTGATTTTAACATGAAAACACCGAACATGTAACATCTACAGACTGATTGAGCACATGCCGCTGCGCATTACTCGGGTGGAAGAAAAAGTAGTTCCCTTCAGGTGCTTATGATTTAAACAAGATTTCAATAGTTTAGTTACTTTTCACTGAGTTCCTGTTAATGAAGTTAATGACTGAAGTATCAAAGTATCAATATTATTATATATTATTATTATATTGGTATCGATAATTCAGTATCAACCCGCACATCATTGTTCTTTAATTAGCCCCTCCTCAAATTAACACTTCCTGTCTGAGTGAAAAGAAATMAATTAAAATCAGTTTTACAGTCATYAAATCTGAAGCTGTCCTTCCTGCCACTGGATTAAAGATTAACATCACCCTTCTTCTCACTGCCCTCATCTACATTTTAACCCTTAAGGCTGTGTTGTTTTACCATTCATGCAGCTCTCTCAGTGCTCTTCCTCCCTGCCTTCAACCCCCCACCCCCTCACCTCCACTACCACCATTTCTCCTCTCCTCTCTGAAAGCTGGGAAAGAACAAGGAGCAATTCAGAGCCAATTTGAGGCCATTTGACTGATTTATTTCAGCGGTGATTGCCTGCGATTCGTGATGCTGAGTTATTGTCCCTCAGATCCGTCGGGTCTTTCGTGGCAACAAGGATTTATTTCAAAGAGAGACCCGACAAATTCAATATTCATAAACTGGATTTGTGCAGACCTAACACTCACCCCTCCCTCTCTTACTCTTACCCCCCGTCCTTTTATTTATTTATTTTTTTGTTTTGTTTTGTTTTAGTGCCGAGTGAGCCTCCACAGAACGTGCGAGCCATCTCGGTGACGTCGGATGAGGCGGTGATCACGTGGGCGGAGCCTCCACGCATGACGCTGCACGGTGTGCTGAAAGGCTACCGGGTGGTGTTTTGGTCCCTCTTCCCTGACGGAGGTGGGTGCTGTGGGGGCCAGGCCKAGTGGCCGATGCAGAGTAATTATCACCTATCTCATTCTAAAATTCATCACATCACATCCCTCGCGCTCGCCTTCCTCTGTGTCCGTGCTGTGAGTCCACACCTTTCCTCATAAAACCCTTTGGTTGTTCTTATCGTGTCTTTGAAATTGTCCGTATTTGTACAACCCATAGATTAGTGATTATATAGCACAGTATTTATAAGTCTGTGTGGTTAGATTGTTATTTTTTTAATTAAATTTTGACTCTAAGTAGTTGTAGTACCTTTAGTTAACCAGGAAAATAACTCATTGAGATTATTTTTTTTTTCAAGAGTGAACAAGTGCCAAGACATGAATCCAGCTTGAGCAATATCTTTCAAAAGTGTCTGAAATTACTGTGTAGAAATCATGAGTTCTAGAGTTTAAATATTTTTCCCTGTTTAAAAAAATTCCCTGAATTAAACATGTTTAATTTTAGGAAAGCAGTTTAGTTGTGTATGAATTGGATTTATTTTTTATCAGGAAACTGAGTTTGTGTGTTTTCCTCTCAGAATGGGGTGAGATGCAGAACATCACCACCACACGTGAGCAGGTGGAGCTGCGAGGCCTCGAGAAGTTCACCAACTACAGCGTCCAGGTCCTGGCCTACACTCAGGCTGGGGACGGGGTCCGCAGCAACGTTTTGTACATCCAAACCCGCGAGGATCGTGAGTATAAATATGTTTGTATAAATCTATTTGGGTTGACAGTGTAAAGAGATGGTCATTGAGATAAGGTATACATAAAAGAGCCCTGAGTTGTATCTGGGACCTTTAACAAAAGCTCATTTATGTTGGGGCGCTCCATTAGCAGTGCTAATGAGAATTAAGAGGCTTTGGATCTGAGGGAGGAGTGGGGAGGACTTGGAAGGGGGCTTGCTCTCTCCGAGCATCCAGAAGTCAGCTGCTAGCCTGGGCCTGCATCCTCTTCAGCAGCTCTTTTGCCACAGGCATGGGGATTAACTCCTTGTGGATTAAAGAGAATTAATTTTGTGCTTACACCATTGGAGGCAGGATTACAGCCAGATCTATGTCTCTTTACGAAGAAGGAGGCGGGGCCTAAAGGGTTAAATATTCAAYGATAAAAAAGTGAACACACTGTAGTCTTGGTTGACAACAATTAAGACACTAGGAAAAACTGTGGAGATAGCAAGACCATTTTAAAAAAAATCTTGAAACATTTTTATGCACAACTCTAAATTTGAAAAAGCAAAAAATTTCAAGTATAAAGTAAAAAAAAAAATCTCAAATGCAAAAATTTGCAAACCTTGAATTTTATGGCACAACGGACTCCAGGTTCTTCATACTAAAGAGAAGAGAGACCACATGGCCCATTATCAGCACACCATTCAAATGATTGCTTCTCTGATGATATAGGGGTGCATTAGTGTCCAAGACAAGGGCAGCTTACACATCTGGAAAAGGCAGAAAGTTCAAACAACATATGCGTCCATCTAGACTAGTTTYTTAAAATTCTATGTCATTATGTTGTGTTTTTATTTATATTCACACAACAAACCAACTGGAACTGGGGTTGTCGATGGCTCAGTTCATTTTTGTTTTCTTGGTGCAGTCGTGCATGAGGCATCCATGTTCATCCGATATATGTGCCTCTCCTCATCATCGCTCAGCAGACGGTCTGCGTGCCTGTCTGGAGTCTGGGGCAGATTTTGGGCACCAGATGGGACTTAWCTCTCCCCTCTCCCACCGCCACTCCTTCTTTGACACGACAGTCCGGTTATGATAATGATCCCTGGCTCCTCCGCTACGCCTCCCCACGACGGCCGCCACGATCGCTCCCATAGGAAACCTTCCACAATTTCATCCCCACCTCCCTCTTTTAAAAACAGCCCTACATCTCCCCTTTTCTCAGTTAAGATTGTTTTCATGCCGGCTCATGTCACGTGTAAGGGTGAAGGAGTCAAGGGCTGAATGACTGGATCAGGGGGCCTCACGGAGAATCAAAAGAAGAGCTGGGTGAATGGATTTACAGAGCTGGGTCTTACACTGTYTTAGGCTCCCTGTGTAAAGCTCAGATGAGGCCCGCTGTCAGGCACAGGTTATATTTATAGTGAGGACTGAATAGGCTCGGATGGTACGATCACTGTGAAACCCAGCGTCCTGATGTGCTTTTGTACAGCGTGGATCCGTCCCTAAAGCCTTTCTTTAAGCCATTATCTTCTAATGAGAGCTTTAAGTCGGGTCCGGTGTCAAGCTGAAGAGGGCTAGCAACGGATCAGACACTAACATCTAATCTGTTTGTGGGTTTGAGAGTTTAAGAGACCGCTGGGTGTCAGTGAGTCAGAACTGCTGACCAGTTGTCTGAGGGAACATATGTCGCCGCCGTCCACCCAAAGGGACTTCTTCCAAGTCCTCCAAGAGCGGCTTAGCTCAGGATAAGACTTTCAATCTGCAAACAAGCCTGTTTGCTTTAACAAGCATCCATCACCAGCGCGCGCGCGCACACACACACACACACACACACACACACACGCTGTATGTATGTATATATGCACGCCCGTGTGTGCTGATGTTGCGGTCTGTTTCCTACAGTTCCTGGTCCGCCAGCTGGCATCAAGGCTGTTCCTTCCTCTCCGAACAGCGTGGTTGTGTCCTGGTTACCTCCTCTCAAACCAAATGGTGTTATCCGCAAGTACACCATCTACTGCTCCAGTCCGGGGTCTGGACAGCCGGTGAGTCTTCCCTCGACGTGAGCGTGACTCATAAAAACATGTTTCTGTCACTTGACAAGCAAAGCTGATCAAAATCAGTCAAAGGGAAATGATTCATTTGTAACCACTTTTATTAATTGAATCGGGTGATAGATGTATCTGAGTGTGTGTGTTTGTATGTGTGTGTGTGTGTGTGTGTGTGTGTGTGTGTGTGTGTGTNTTTGCTCGTGTCTCTCTTTCACCATGTTTGCACCATTGCTTTATTTCCTGCCCTCCCAGATGAACAGATGAGGTTGTCTTGGCAACGTGATGAGACGTAGATATGCAAATGAGGCCGAGAACAAGCTCACACATGCACACTGCCACATCAGAAACACTCACACACACACACACACACACACACAGACACAGACACACACACACACACACACACACACACAGACACACAGAGGCATCGCATTTTCAACATTTTCTATTTATAAACGTATACGCGCGACGTTTCGGCATCGGTTAGGACTGTATTCACACAAAACGCCGAGCCCGCAGTGAAGTCTTGATACACGGGAAGAATCTCACTTTCTTATTATTCACAAATATTCCTCCCCTTTCCTGTGCATGAGTGCCATGTAAATGAGCATGGGCAGAGAGCGGGAGGGAGGGAGGCGGAGAAGGAGGAGGAAGCAAAAAAAAAAGAGAGAAAAAAAAGAGACACACCATTAGAGGTAGGGAGACACCACAGGGAAATGTTGGAGAAAGAGAGGGATGCAGGCGGGGTGGAAGGGAGGAGCAGAGGAGGGTATCAGTCACACGGAGATGAGAGCGCTTTTTGTCCGTCTTTTCATTATCTCCCCGTATCACTCCCTGGATCACCACAACACCACCGCCACGATGCTGGAGGAATGTTCGAACCCCGACACACACACACACGCACACGCACACGCGCACACACACACACACCTCCATCCATCCATCCTCTCCACTTCACTGAGCAATGCCGAGAAGGGACGAGAGAAAAGCAGGGTAACAAATGGGGAAGGACCAGAAGATGAACATAGAGATAAACCAATTAAAGKGATAAAAAGATTGTTTTATTTTTTCTGCATACAGTTTATTTTACTAGTATAAAAGAAAGAAATGACTACATCATAATTTAATCTATGACATTATATTGAACAATATCATTTGAAAAGCACACGTTCTCCCCCTTAAAAAAATCTCTTTTTATCCAAACACATTGAATATGACTGTCACATGCATTTTTTCTGCAGCTCAGCACTGATTAGTCCTGAGAAAAGCTGCCTCACACTGAAAACCGTTCATATATGTCAAAGAGAACATAGCTTTAAAATTATTTTCTGCCTGGCTAGACCTAAATTTAGAATTAGCTGGGTATTTTTTTTATTTCTTTTTGCTGTTGAAGCTATTTTAATTGAAATGTAGCTAAAATTTGTAGAAATTATTGAACATGAAAATCCTCTACTCMTAAATCTAATACTATTTGTTTTTATTTAAAGTTTGCAGGTTGAATTAGGTTGTAGATCAAAGGTAGATTTATCTGATGTGAAGGTTTCCACATATTTACTGTCAGCTTTGTATTTTTTTTCTCCATCGATCAAAAGGCCATTGCTTTTGTTTGTAAAGGGCACAGATCATGCAAAATCACATTTTTTAGCTGTTAAATACATTTTCTTGTGTACTTGGAGTCTATATYAGTGCAGAATAGTTGAATTTAGTCTCTCCAGGTGCTGCATAGATATCTTTATYTTCTGTTTYGGTCATTTTTCAACCCMTTCTAAACTTTTACATCACAGTATTTACAATGGAACTTCTAAATAAGGTCTGGACTGTAGRGCCTCGTTTGKAGAGACAGCCTCAAAATGAGTTGATCTGAGACACACCTCAGAAAAGAATAAGGGGCTTGTGGAGTTACCATAAAGAAACATTGCAGTTCCACTTTACATAGAGCTCAACGGAGTGATTTAAATGTGAAAAAGAAGGATTTTAAAAGTTTTATTAGCACAAAATTCATAAATAATGTTTGATTTATTTAGCTGCAGTAATTTATCTAATTAACAACAGTGTAGATGTATTGCTACTTATTTCTACTGATTAAAACAAATGTCTTGGAGCA